AAATGTAAGCATAAAGCATTAAAGCTTATGTTAAATCTAGTCTACTAGCCTTAGGACTATTAAGCAGCTCTAACTACTAATTTTGTCTACTATAGAAGCTATCCTTAACTGCTAGGAATAACATCTGCATAGACGCCTGCGTGGTAGCAGATTACAGGGGCTGCTGTAATTGCAAATAAATATAACACATTTATAAAGAACAACACTGCACTACATAGTGTGTGCTTAGTTAACTAAGTTAGCATTAGTAAAACTAACACTATCCTTCTTTTTTAAAATATTATAAGTTCTACTAACCTTATTTATTTAAAAGATTACTATAGGGTGCTAAAGACCCTAAAAAAAGGGACAGAGAGAAGAGAAAAAAAGGAAAAAGAGGGGGGGGATTTTAGATTAGGTACTAGTGTACTTAACCTAAAACACCCCCCTTTTTCCTCTCTTTCTCTCTCTCTCCTTCTTCTCTCTGTACTTATTTCTATTTTTTATGTGTTGCTTTTCTATCTAATTTAGACACTAATGCTTTTTAGTATCTTAACAGGAGAAAGATTAAGCTTTAGCAGCTATATAATAATAAAAATTAAAAGGCTTTTAAAAATTATTCTACACTTAAGCTGTTTATCTACGCTACTTAACCTTATCTATTTAAATAGGCTGCTATTAATGCTTAGAATTTTTTTAATAGATATTATGTTATTATTTATGCTAGTAACAAGTCTTACTTACTTAAGCAGATTAAGAGAGTTAAATATATTACTAGCACTCTTAAGCAAAACTATCTAATTTTTAACCCTAAGAATAAGACAAACTCTTAGGTTATTCTTATTACCTCTTATAGCATCTTGTACACTTAAAATAGTTCTACTGTGTATAAGGATTAGCTTTTTAAGCAATACACGCCTTTATAGTTAAAGAAGATAGATATTAACCTAAACATTAATTACTTTTATTTATCTAAAGAATAGAAAGGTTATCTAGCAGGCATGTTCTAAGCTAGCGCATTAGATAAAGGGCAGTAAGTGCTTGCAGATGTACTCTAGGTTGCTAAAGCTATGCTTATATTTCTAGGTATTATAAAACTTTTAACAGTATAGCTAGCTATGCTGTTTACTAGCTTAAGCTCCCTTAGACTATAATTATAACTGCTACGCTAATTCTCTAGAAATACTTAGATTTTAGAGGCCTACTTAGTCTAATCTAGCAAACTAAGGTTAATAAGTAAGCTAATAAACTTTTTAAAGCAAACAAGCTACACAATCTCTATAAAAAGTACACTAATAAGACACTAGTTAATCCTAACATTAGCTATCTCTGCTTTACATACTGCTGCTTTAATAAATTTATTACTAACAAGCTAGGCCCTACTAAATAAGGCAAACAAATTGCCTAGATCTAGTCTAAGGTGCTAATCTAATGTAATTATATATCTAAGTGTGTTATTAACTCTAAAGGCACTAAGTATATAATTAGAAACTTAATGCCTTATAGTTACTGCGTCTAGGTTTACCTAGAAAACAACTGCAGAAGTAAGGCTATCTACGCTAGGTATGCACTATAGTTTGTTAGTAAGATAATTAAGGATAAAGACAGTAATTGCCTGTTTCTAAACTTCTAAAATGTGTGTATACTAAACTTAATATCTATTAACTTTATGCTCTATTTTGCTAAATCTATTTATTCTGTTAAAGTTAATAATAAATTATCTTAAAAGACAGCAGAAGCTTTAATAAGAAAGGTCTATAATCTAGTTTTTAGGGAATATAATACACTCTTTGCGTTCTAAGATTATGTTAGCTAGATGTATAAACTTATGCGTAAGATTAAGGATAATGTAATTGCTGCTAGTGTTAAGAAGCTTATTATGTTGCTGCTTTCTAGCCCTAATAAACTCTGCAAGCCTAGAGCTAGCCTGCTCTTTGTCTAACCCTTCTTAAGCTAATTAGTGCAATTACGCGCGCTTTTTACAGCTATTGCTAACTAAATTATTAAGAGTAACAAAAAAGCCCTTATATTTGCACAGAATCCCTAGGAGCAGCAGCTGCTTGTTGTTATCCTATTGCTCCTTAATATTAAGGCTAACGCGCATATTTTTAGTAGTAATGTGCGGCATAAAGACAAGCTTGTACAGAAATTCTAGCAGCTATTAAGTTAGAACCTTACTAACAATTCCTACAGTGCTAGTGTGCTAGACAAGGACCTTAAGGTTCTAGTTATGTCCTACTATATAAATTCTAGACTTAACCTGCATTATAACTGCTGCAATATGCACGCTTTCTTGCCTACTCTGTCTTCTCCTATATAGATTTAAGCGTGTGGGTGAATTATGCGCTTTAGACAGACAAAAGACTGTCTTATTATTAAGTACTATGTTAAAAATACAAGTAACTACTGCTAGATAGCAAATGTAACTTTAAATACTTTTACTAGCATTTCTGCTTTAATTAATAGGTACAACAAGCAGGAGAGCAAAGTTTTTGTTAACATTAAGGGTGTTAAAGTTGTTAGTAATTAGATTAGTGTTAGGCAGGATATTCTTAATAATTTTATTATGTAGAACAACAAGCTGTACAACTTAAGTAATAAAGAAACTCCTAAAGGCGCTTATAAGTACAGTAAAAAGCTTAATTGTAATAAGGTCCTACTAAAACTCTTTAACACATAACACAGAGAGAATATTAGGGTTAGCACTAATAAAGGCAGCTTTACTTTAATAGCTACTACAGCTGCGCTTCTTAACAACCTAGAGACACTCACTCCTGCTAGGACTATAGCAGGAAGGATGCAACCTGTTACGCTAAAGGACACACAGTCTTTTTTAGAGCAATTAGGTTTGTCTAGGCAGCTAGCGCGCCTTAAAGAAGCACTAATTAATGTTAATGTTAAAATGCTAGATAATAACAAGTAGCCTTCTGCTACACCTAGCAAAATTAGTTATACTACTAAAGCTAGTAAGAAGAGGGCTAATGTAAAGAAAAGTAGTAAAAAGAAGCCTAGCAAGAAGAAGATAAGCAGTAATAAGCATAAACAGACAGCTAATAATAAGTTAAGCTCTAATACCTTTAAGCCCTAGCCTTAGCCCTAGTCTTGTTAAGCAGCTAATAATATGCCACCTACTAAGAACACAGAACTAGTTAAGCCTAGTAATAATAACCTAGCTAACTCTAACAATATAGCTAGTAGAAAGGTCAAGAAGTCTAGTAGTAGTGCAGGTTGAGGGGGGCGGGGTAGAGGCAGTAGATGCAATAAAGGCATTAGAGGCAGCACAGGCAAGAGCTAGTCCTAAATAATAAATTAGTTATGTAGCAGTGCGTAGGGACAGATTTAGGTTAAGTCTACCTTTAGTTTAGTATAAGTTTTTTTATCTAGTGTTAGTTACAGTAAGATACGCAAACATAATAGTCTAGCATAGTTATTACATTAACTTGTATGCATACTAAGATAGATTTCTATATTAAATACTTCCTTCTTAGATGCATTATGCTATAGGAATTTACAAAATAGCTTGCAACAAACGTTCTAATAAGTAATGTAATAGCAGAAGATGTTAAGTTGCAGGGAAGATACAGGTTATGTATGCTAATATTGCCTAATTATGTCTAACCTTAACCTAGTTCTATGTAATTTCTAGTAAGGTGGGCGTACAGTGTAGACTGTGGAACTATCCTAAGGAGCTAAGGGAGGGGGGTTTTTAGCATAAGTACTAGTACCTATCTGTAAACCCCTCTATCCCCCTCCCATGCTACTCTTATATAAAAAAAAACATAGCATAAAGAAAAGTATAGCATAAAATAAAAAACAGTATAAAGAAAAACATAGTATAAAAAGAATATAGCGTAAAGAAAATATAGTATATAAAGAATATAGTAAAAAGATAATATAGAAAAAAGCATAGTATAAAAATAAATATAGTTTAATAAAAAATATAGCAGAGAAAAAAAAAAGAAAAAAAAATAGAGTACATAAGTATAGTGTTAGTTAACCTAGGTTTAATTAAACAAACGTACGCCTAAGAGGCGTACTAAGAGGTAAGCAGGCAAAGATCTTCTTGTTATTAACTACTGCCCTGTCTCTTCGTACAAAGAAAGAGGGCTCTTAAGTACACATAGCCTCTAACGCACAGGCTAGATAGCTAACGTTTCAGGCAACCTTATTTAGCCGTACGCGTGTACGGACACAGCTGTACTTACGTACAGACATATAGTGTAAAAAGAATTAAAAGATAAAATATATAAAATAAAAAAAAATTAAAATATAAATAAAATACAGTATAAAAACAGTAGAGTATAAAAAAAGTATAAAATAAAGATAAATATAAGTTAAAAAGTAAAGTAAGAAAATAAAAGTAAGTATAAATAAAATATTAGTATAAAAAAGTATAGTATAAAAAATGTAGTATAAAGAAAACATTATTATAAAAAAAATAGTATAAAAAAAATATAGCATAAAGAAATATATAGTTATAAAAAAGTTAAATATAAAATAAAATATTATAAAA